AAAAATGAGCAGTAACAAAAAAACCACCACCTCTAAGAACAAGAAAAATAAGACCCCCAACTATTCTAAATCAAAACAATACAAGCCGAGACAATTTTTATCTTGTAAGTAAATTTTGTGCCGTGCCAGTGCATTCGCGCTGAAATATTATTATCAGAACTAAAATTTTTATTTTACTAAAAATTAGATGATGATACCTGGGGAAAAATGTCGAAAAAAAACCTAGAACGTGATAGGGACAATGATGATAATGATTGGGTAAATCCTGGTAAACGGGATGATATGTTAGATCAAATGTAAACCCACCAACCTAGTCCATTAAGGGCGCCTCAAAGAGGCATATATTTTTTTATTTTATTTTCTTATTTGTATACCGTCTCGGTATTTTTTTTATGAAATAAAAAAGGGGTTCAGTGGGCTCGCCATTTTTTATTTTGACGCGATTCTTGTAATGTGATTTGCAATTATTAATTAGTGGAGATAACAGAGCCATACCTGGTTTTCTTATTAATCTATGCTTTTACAGTTACTATTTGGATTGAATTCTGATATTTATTCCCCCAACATGTAAGACGATAAGTTTTCGTATTGACATAATCGCCACTCCCCCACTCACCTTTTACATTATCTCTTTTATGCTCTTTATTACATACGAGACAGGCTTTTGGACAATCAAAATAGTCACCATATTTGTTACTATATTTCAAAGTTAAATAAGGAAAGCGATCTAACACTATTTTGATAATATGTTTTCGTTTTTCTTCTGGATCACCAGGTAAGGTGGAAATTGAAGGTCGGGTTTTGTTCTCATGTAGTGAGGATGCTTTTACATCTGGTACACTCACCTGGATTTTTGGCGAAACCTTCTCAGGCAATGCGCTTACCTTAGTAGAGCTAGTTACATTAATATCTAATTTTCTTGAGATGGGAGAGTCAGGAGTATTAGACATACTTACCTCAGCTTCCGAATCTGAGGAATTTGAGATCTGAGGTTTGGTAGAGTTAGATGGTTCAGTCATATGAGTGTGTGAATTTTTTTCACGCAGTGGGGGGGTAGTATCGCACTTTTCTGTGAAACGACTTACCTCATATATGATTATATCGATTTGTGCATCAGTTAATTTTGAAAGTTTATTTGCGCTATAAGTCTTAATTCGCAAAATCTTATCTTCTCCAATTTCATTAAACAACTTATATATAGGTTTAGTTAGTTGTGTTTTTTTACGCAAATTTACTCGGGAGATACCTGAAAGATAACATAACATTTCATCATAAATTTGGCTACTTGCTAGCTCATATGCTTTTTGTTTCGTAAGTTGTAGTTTATTTTTCAGGATTCCAGGTAAAATTTCACTATGTCTTTTTTCAAAAAACTTTCTATATGAATACCAGCTAGCAATTTCATCTTGTTTAGCTCGCATAGTATTAAATTCCGCAAAACAAATTCTTTCGAATAGATATACTAATTTGATTGTAGGTGATTGGTTATCTGTAGAATTTTTGCCGAAGGCAGTCACACAGTGGCTAGATATAGAGGATCGCTTCTCTGAGGCATCTACATTAACAATTTTAATGGTATCCTCCTTTAAAGGTTTTATATTTAGTTCTTGTATTAAAGGTTTTATATCTATTTCAGGCGTTTTATTTTTTTGCTTTATAGGAAGTTGTTCTAATAAATCAGAGCTATCACCAGAGGTAGTCACAGAGTGGCTAGAGATAGATTGCGATATTGTTGACGATTTCAAATTTTGATCTTTGTATGATAAATTGGATGGTTCTGGTGAATTATTATCCGAAGATAAGTTTTGTTCCCGAAGTTTTTTTTCCCTAATTCTCTCCATTATCTCTTCACTAACACGTTCTTTATGTTTCATTTCTACAAAATCAAGGGTCTCGGCTGAATCATCATCGATAATATCTTGTGGCAAAGAGGTTGTGGATGACTCACCTTTTGTGGGAGTATTATCATGATTTATTTCAGGGTGGTTATGGGATGTAGGGCATTGGCTAACCATATCCTGGTATATATTGGCACTATTTTCTATCTGTCCAGGAGTATCATCAGAATTTGGCGTAAGCCTGCATATTTGTACTGAAGCATTAACAGATATATCAGATACCGAAGCATTATTGGGTTCATTAGAATGGCTAGAATTTATCATTTCGGTAGAGGTAATATTAACTGAAGATTGGTGATCATTTAGGATCGCCCCTTTGGGCCTGATTTCTTTAGCTATATGGTTATTTTTTTCTTCATCGTTTTGTAATTGTTTTTGTTCTAATTTCGCAACCCTAGCTTTAAGTTCAGCATTTTCAGTAGCAGTATCTTTATCATTCTGCTCTAATTTCACAAATCTAGCTTCGATTTCTGCTTTATCTTGTTTTAATTTTATATTTTCAGCCTTGATATCAGCATTCTCCTTTCTAAGTTCATCAATTTGAAGAATGAACTTGGTATTCAATTCTCTCAACGAATCAATTGTGGATTGAGCGTCTTCCATTGTTTTATACAAGATACGGATATGTTCAAAAGTTCGAGTCTGATAAAATCACATGACTCCGTGAAAAAAAATTCACGCACTTTTCCAAGAAAAATTTTTAAAATTTCTCAATCATATGCTGGTTAGTATACATGATAATAATACAATAAAATAAATTTACGAAATACACATGCAAAAGTAAACACGATTATGTATGCGAAATCGGCCACCAGGGCCAGTTTTATTGATACGGTAAAAAATAAAATCAAATTCCAGGAAAAATATACATATATTTGCTTTATTTTTATAATAAAATATATAGGCATTTAGGTGCCAGATACATGTATTGAAATAGCAGAGCTAATGTCTCTGACATATACAAAAAATTATCTATTATTTATTTTTTTTTCTTTTACAATGCATGGGACAACTTCTTGAGCAGACTCTTTTTCTTTTTCTGCTTTTCCGAATACCTGAAGAGGATGGTAATGGTAAAGTCTATAGATAAAGTAAAATTTATTAATATAACTATTATTGCTATTCTTGTTAATACTATTTATACTTACGGATTTTTTCGATAAAGATTCTATATTATAATTAATCCTCTCTTTATTCCGAGGATTACGTTTCCGGGGTAATTTAGGTGCTTTTCTTTGAATAGAACTACCGGAAATATTATTATCATTGTTATTATTATTATTAGCACTATTCTCTTCACTATTATTATAATCACCACCACTATTATCGTCATAATAATTATTAATATTATCATCATCGTCGTGATCACCATTATTGTTATTTTCATTATTATTATTATTACTATTATCATTAACCCGTTTTCTATTCCGACGAGGCACCGCTCTTCTTTTTTGTCGAATAGAACTACCAACAACGACGCTAAAATTATTATCATTGTCATTATCACTGTCATCGTCATAATCACCATTATCATTATTAACACTATTATCGTAATAATCGCCGTTGTTATCATTACCACCATTATTAATGTTGTCATCATTAGAACCTGTACCATTATTAGCATAATCAATTGCGAAGAACGATTGCATAGCAGTCGAATTTTCATCAATTGCAGAGGACGATTGCGCAATCAAATCATCACCTAAATTTGAACTATCTTTGGGGTGTTTATTCAAAATTCTGGTAAGCTCATCTTCTTTCATTTTTATCTCATTATTTATTTTCGAAAGATCATGAAGAATACGTTCTTTTTCTACTTTACGCTCTGAAATATCTCGTCTCTAATTCCAGAAGAATAATTAGAATAAGTTTAAAGCTAATATATAAATACAAAATACTTACTATTTTACACTCATTAACTACATCGTTCCAATAATCCTCGAGATTATAACGTTTTCGATCTTCACTGACCTATTATAAGAAAAGTATTTATTATATTAACAGTGTGTAATTTTTATTTAGTGGCAAGGGCATGCCAGAAATCAAATGATTTATAGTATAGAAAGAGAGAGCGAGAGAGAAAGACCAAGAAAGACCAAGAAAGAGAGAGAGCGAGAGAGAAAGACCGAGAAAGAGAGAGAGCGAGAGAGAAAGGCCGAGAAATCAGATGATAAAAAGCATGCCCAAAGGAAGACACATAATCGATTCCTTCTCCGGAATCAGCAGACCTTTACCAACGACAAAGGGCGCCCGAATAGAGAACCTGGAGTGGTTACCAACTTGTCATACTCGGTAGTTCTCCCAAGTCAGACCGGACCGTAATCGCGATGTACTGGGAGTTACCCTAACCTTATAAAATAAAAAAAATACACACCTTTTCTTTTAAATCTTCACCTAACTTTCTTGTTTCTGCTAAAAAGCGGTCGCACCAAGTTTTGTCAAGGTCAGGCCAGCGGGAAGTAACCGGAGTGGTGGCAACAATCACGTCTCGGTGGCAAAGTAGAAAGCCCCAAAAAGATTTTTTATGTCGCGTCAAATATGACGTAAGTTCTTCGTAACCGGGATATAGTTGTTCAGAAGACATGATATAAAAAAACTTAGTAAGAATATATGTTTGAAAGGTGCAAGAAAAAGGTGCAAGAAAAAATACAAGAATCGTAGTTTCCTCCCTAAATAACGCGTATACTCGAGCCATGTGTTAATTTATCGAAATTGGTATCTTACACTTCACGTTACATATGCATTGGAATTTTTCTTCTGTGATACATGTTATTAATATGTCGCATGACCAGATAATGCATTACAGTATTATAAACTGTAAAAGGTTCGATCTGCATTACCCATTTGCCCGACTGCATTATTCAGATTTACGTATTTTTATTTAACATTAATTATTCGAGGTTCGCTTTTAAAATTTTCACATTCACATTGTCTATATATTCCATCCACTACCATTTTGCATGTTTTACAATACAGATGTGAATGGTGATTGCATTCGTCACAAACCTTACATCCGTAATTCCACCCTCTAAAAATATGCCACTTTTCGATGTAATTTCGATTTTTTTTATTTGTTAATACGTTACTCTTATCTTTCATTGTTATATATTAGCC